TGACTCCCATGTATTGACTGTTTTCCCAGACAGACTTCCCCAAAAGCTGTGTATATATTACTCATAGGTTGAGAGGACGTATAGTGAGGCCATGTCCAGCTCTAATGCACACGTGTCGCCTTAGTATGGGGAACGAAAAAGTCTTCCGTAGGGCAGCTTTGAATCCTTCTTCGGAGTCGATGATGCCTACCATCTGTGTCAACATGCACCCTTACTTTTTGCATTTTTCCATGTCCTCTCACTTAGACAACAACAAAGGCATACTCCCACCCAATTTCAGTGTTCGGATCCAGCCGTGAACTGTTTGCGCGCAGGTGAGATCCTGACTGGAGCCCTGGGGGGTGAGCCGGAACGCTCTTTCGGGTGAAATTGTCTGCGGGGACTAGAGAGACCCCGCGTCAATGTTTAGTTTTCTCCGAGTCACAGAAATAAGGGAGAGGCCGACTCATTGGGGCAGAGTCTTTTTCGAGGGAGAGAGACTGGATGCTTCAAGCTTTTCGCCCTCTCCCCTCATGCATTACCCAAGCTCATCTCCGCAGAACGAGCTGAGTTAGTTTAGTAATCTTCACCTCTTTGGCCAGCTCATCCGCTCTCTTATTTTTCTCTTCCCCTTTATTCAAAATGAGAAGGAATCTTTGAGCATTACATGTGGGATTGAGGGCAGCTTGCAATTAACCACATCCGAAAAAGACAATTATCTGTGCGCTCGGCCCTGTCGCTGCACAAGAGACCATGGATCCAACGGACGACATTTTCTTCACGGCAGAGGCGTTGGAACGAGCGTCCTCAGTGTTTGACGCTGGGCGCGTGGGCTGGAAAGGAGCGAGGGGAGGGCTTCCGCTCAAGGCCGACGAGGGGAGCCGGGCGGTGTCGGAGGGGGCGAGGGAGGGGGGCAGGCGAAACGGGTTGGAAGGAGATGGGCTCAGCGACGGCGAGTACGAGGCAGGACTGTCAGACATGCTCTTGTCAGATATGGACTCGGGCATCTTCTTCAACGAAGCGAACGCCGCCCTCTTTGCGGGCGCCGGGGACGGGGGTCTGAGCAAGCAGGCGAGTCTGGAAGGTGACGGGCTTCGAGACCCGCAGCATTTCGACCTCGAGCAGCAGCAGGAGGCTCGGGAGGGTGGGGAGGAGTACCCGTCTGCACTCCAGCCATTTCCAGCGGCCTCGCTCTCGTCCAAGAACGTGAGCAGTCTCCCTAGCGGCGTCCATGGGAGCTGGCCCTCCTTCATGGGCGCGGGGCCGCCTGTCTGGAAGCAACCGGGCGAGGGCATGTCGCACCAAGATCAAAAAGGGGCGCGGGACCTTCGCCCGCTGGTGGGGCAGTCGGCGACAGCCTTGCAGGACGGAAATGCTCTGGGCACGGGCGGGCCCGGCTTGGGGGCCCCGCGAGGGGAAGGGAGGCAGGTGATGGCGGTTACGCCGGGTCAGGGCGAGGGTGTGAGCGGGCTGATGGATGAGACGGCCTCGGTCCTGTCCTCGGAGTGCTCGTCCCTGTGGGGC